AATGTATATTTTAAATTGTATTTTGTAGAATAGTAAAGGAATCTGCCTGCTCTGCATTGAATTCATTATCAAAAGATGCATTTTTTATATTGAAACCATATTTATTAGATTTATTTTAAGTTTATTTAAAAGCATTATCTTAAAAAGGTGGGGTATTATTATACATTTATTAATCATTAAAAACAATATTAGCTGAATGTGAAACTATTGAAAATTAGGAATTAATAGATTTAATAATGACTAAATTGATTAGCAATTTAGTTGATTTAAATGATTATAATATATGTCCTCTTTATGGTATTAATATATCATTTCCTTATAGAATGTTTGTCAGAAGCTGTTGAAAAATTTGGATAAAGAGCAATAAAATATATTCCAATTATTTATTAAGCAATAGTATAATCTATGAATGGTTATGTATAATCCATATAAAATGGAAAGACTAGACTTTTGTATTAATAAAAGGAAATTCTAAAAAGTTCTTTTGATTTGTGTATTAAAATTATCAACATTACAAAAGAAAGATTCTTAGAATTATGTGATTAATCATTCTTATAAATTGTTGATCTTTCTTTATAAGATTCAGAAACTGAGGTTAAACAATATGCACTTTCATTGATAGGTGAGTTAATTAAAGATTGCTATATAATTTTCAAAAATGTTAATATTGCTATTGTATTGTAAATATAAAATATATTATAGAAATGAATACATTTATGCTTAATCAATTAGTATTGATCCTTCTAAATTATTTTTAGCTACTTCTAATAATGCTGCTTGGGCATTGGGAGAATTAGCTATTAAAGATCCAACTAAAATTACAGTGATCTTTAATGCAGTTATGGAAAAATTGATAAAAATAATAAATGAACCTAAATTTCCAAAATCTATTGCATAAAATTTATGTATTGCAATATGTAGGATTGCTGGATCACATATGTAATAAATTGAAGAACTTATACCTAATTTTTTTAAAAGAGTTTGTTTAATACTTAGTTAAATAAAGAGTTAATCTTTAGATGAATATAAAGAGGAATCATTTAAGTATTATAATTTATGAAAATATAGGATTCTAATAAATATAGTGAAAATGTATCCAGGAAGAGTAATAAACGATATCAAATATTTTGTTTATTGTATTGTTGTATCTACAGAGTTTCCATCTATTAAACCTCTTTTTGTTAATATTTTATAAGAATTGTAATAGTCTTTAGGCTAACAGAAATTTGATAATATGTTTAGTACTGATGACTTGCCTAAAGGATTTAGGATGAAAATGATCAATATTTATGGTGTGTGAATAAATTAAAAAATTATGCGTTTTTGAATATTAATTTTATATAAATGAGATTCATCGTGATTGCAATTTTTGTGATGCTTGCAACATCCCAAGAATTTGTTGAATTTTACTCTGCTTTTTCTAATGCAGACCTAGGTTAATTGGATGGATGGACAATACAAGGATCATTGTCAAAAGCTTAAGCTGATAATTTCTTTACTTGTTCAGATGCCACTGTTTTTGGAGGACCTAAGGTATTTGGTAAAGGAGCTATAGTTACCAGACAATTTTAATTGCCTCCACATTTTTAGATTAAAATATCAGTTGAAGTCTGGAAGTATTGAATAATTTAATAATTTTAGATTTGATGCATGGGATACTTAAAGATAGTTCTTCTATTTAGATAATTACCTTTGGGAAACTATGTGGACTGGAAGTGATGGAACTAAGAGATGTGCAACACCAGCAGGTGGTAATGTAAATTCATTCTAAGTTGATTAAACAATAACTCATAATCATGCAGCATTATTTATTGCATTTGCATCTTCAGCTGATAAGACAGCAGATAAAGTATAATCTTTTTAATAATCTTTAGATGTCTTGGGGTTTTAGAAACTTGAAATTATCTTATTTGGCATGTCCAACAGAATGTGGTACATGTCTTGGACCAGATGCTATTGTTTGTTAAATGTGGGTACCAGTATCATCAAGTTGGATAAAGAATGTAGAAGCTGATGGATGGAATGT